TTCTTCAAGGGTTCTACAGTACAGAAAATGGTTCTACATAGAACCATGAACACTCAGAACCATCTGCATGATTAAATGGTTCTTTGCGTTGTGAAAGCGTTCTTCAGATTGTAGATGGTGCTACCTAGAACCATGAACACTCAAAGAAGCCTCTGCATGATTGAGGGGTTCTTTGCATCGTGAAAGGGTTCTTCAGGTTGTAGAATGTGCTGTATATGGTGCTACATAGAACCATGAACACTCAGAACCTTTTGCATGATTAAAGGGTTCTTTGCATCGTGAAATGGTTCTTCAGATTGTAGAATGTACTGTATATGGTTCTGCATAGAACCATGAACACTCAGAACCTTTTGCATGATTAAAGGGTTCTTTGCATCGTGAAATGGTTCTTCGGATTGGAGAATGTGTTGTATATGGTTCTATATAGAATTTTTAAAAGGGTGTTCTATATAGCACCAAAAAGGGTTCTTCTATCAATATGAAGTCAGGCATGTTACACTAGAAGAACCCATTTTGGTGCTATATAGAACCATATACAGCACATTCTCCATCAGTCTGAAGAACCCTGCATCTTATCTATTACTCAGTTTATTTTCTGTTTAGTCCAACAGAAAGACTACAGTTTTACAACAATGGTACTTTGAGGGTTCTTTAGTAAAGAAAATGGTTCTGTATAGAACCGTGAACGCTTAAAGAACCCTCTGCATGATTAAAGGGTTCTTTATGATGTGAAATGGTTCTTCCGATTAACGAAGAAAGTGCTCTAGATGCTTCTATTGTAACAAGCTTGTATCGTAAAAATAGCAGAACCCTTTTTGGTGCAATATAGAACCATCTACCACACATTCTCCATCAATCTGAAGAACTATTTCACAATGCAAAAAACCCTTTAATCATGCACAGGGTTCTTTAAGTGTTCATGGTTCTATATAGAACCATTTTCTTTATTAAAGAACCCTTGAAGAACCATTGTTTTTAAGAGTGTAGTCTTTCTGTCTGTTTGCTTCTTTGGACTAAACAGAAAAGAAACTCTGACTAAAAGATGAGATGCAGGCTCTACGCTGCCCCCTGGTGGAGTGTAGACTTCAGACGTCTCATGCTTCAGTATGAGAATGAGTGACGTTAGAAGCTCATTTGCATATCAAAAAATCTTCACTTACTATTTGATTTTTTTAAATATTCTGACATTTCAAATCTTGCATATTCTGACATCCCTAATTAGTAACATATAAAGTGGGCTGTGGTGAACAGCAGAGTCTCATCGGTGCACATAATCAGTGCACAAATGATGTACAGTTGTGTGCAAAAGTTTGCGCGCCCCGGTCAAGTTCCGTGCTATTGTTGATTTTCTACGTGAAAATAAGTGAACACACTTCTGCACAACTACTGAATTTAACATACTGAAAATCAAATAAAATAAAACGTAAAATGTGGCCTGTGCTAAAGTTAAGGCACATTTTTCCCAATATGTTAAAACTCAGCAAATAAACAGTAATTTTAACTTAAAAGGCCTCATTTTAGTGTCTCCCTGTAAAGGTTTTGATTATATTTTGACAACTATACGTGTACAGATAGAAACCGACACATTGGCCCAGTCCCATTTCTTATTTTTACCCCTACCCCTTGTTTTCGAGTGTCTCCTTGCCCCTTTGGAACTCAGTTACAAGGCGTAGTGGTTGAAATCTTCCCTCTGAAATGGGACCCTCAAATAAAAAGAGCATCACTTCATTAACAGCTACCAGCGCTGCTCTGTAGGCGACCCTGCCAGTCTGCAGTGACAGCAGAGGAGGGTAAAGTTCAGCTCCTCACTGCTGGGCTTTAGTTACATTTAGGGCATCATATGCCTTCAAAGAGGGGGAGGGGGGGCACTTACTTATTATCGCCCACCCCTAATTCTCCAGTGATATGAAGCTGAATTTTCCCCTTCCACCTTAAATGGATTTTTAAGGTGGAATGGGAAATTTAGATAGCCAGCTACCGAGACATCAGCAAACAACCAGCGATTTTTATGCTTGTTATGAAGAAAAGGACCATTTTACACTGAAACGACATTAAACTAAGACGATACGACAGTTATCATCTTTGGTCGTTTGCACAGCTGGTTTATCTTTTTTCCTCATAACACTGTTTGGAGTCTCTCTGAAAAACCTCATTTGGAGGGCCATGTAGCCCAAACACTTCGCCCTACCCCTCTATCTCAACACAAAACGGGACACCCTACCCCTAGACGTGAGCGTGCAAAACAGAGGGTTAAGGGCTGAGTGGTTGGGGGGGGGGCGAGGGGTGAAATGAGATTGGGCCATAGTTTTACAACATTTAACACTGTCTCTCCCTAAATAATGTACACCCAGCGATCAGGTGTATGAATGTAAACGTGTGATTCGTTCACATGGTTTAGTTCTATACTGTGATGAACAGCCTGACACCCAAATGAGAAATTCCACTCAAGCAGGATGACAGACATGGTCTAATTAGACCTCACAGGGCACATGACTGTACCATGTGAAACGGTGCAGCTACTGAAAACACTGTACTCTGTAATGCAGAATGTTTGATCAGTACTTTCCTCCAGAATGGTTTTATGTGCCTTTATCTGTGATCTGAGACAGAACCCAAAGTTCTGCGCTTATGGAGAGGAATTCGGCTCAAATTAAAAAGCAATCACTGCAGTGGAAAAACATGAAACGCAACGCACGCATGACATCACTTTTCCATGGTAACATGCAGAAACAAGCCCTCTGTTATCTCGATTAGTGTTTTCACGTTGCTCAACCTCTTTACTGACAAATCAATGGGTGAGGATTTACATTGTAAAACAAAATGCTGAATTTTCGCCAGAACTGAACACAATCCATGACTAATTGCTTCCCATTGAGCAGTACTTCAGCAGACTTGCTTCACTGAAATAACCGAGAAAACAGTTAAATACAACTCGTTTTCCACAGGTGACGTGCGAAGTACATGTCAAAATGAAAAGCAAAACCTTTTTTCACATCACTTGACCTGTTTTTTGTACGTAGGATGTATTTGCTTCATTGGAATGCAACCAAAACTGAATTAAACAGTAACAGGTGGAAAACCTGCCTGAACTGAAAGTAAAAGATGCTTTACACTGATTTAACCTTGCTTTAAGGCCTGCAGAGTGGAAAGCGATATAGCCCTTTACTACATCTCAAGGCAGATTGTATTCAGTTCTGACATTAATTCAGCATTTCAGGAGATGTAAAACTGCACTCTTAGCAAAAAGGTTTCGATGTAGTACCAAAAAAGGGTTCTTTGGCTTGTAACGATAGTAGAACCCTTTTCAAAAAGGATTCTATGTAGAACCATCTACAACAAAATCTCCACACTTTACGATGCAAAGAACCCTTTCATCATGTTGCATTTCACGTTTGTCCACTGTAGTTATTGCTTTTCTATTTGGCCTGAATTCCTCTCCACATGCGCTTTGCTAGAAAAAGGTTCATACTGTATCCAAAAAAAAAAAACTGTCACACTTGAAATGTAAACTGTGTTCACTGAGGCAAATGCAGTGAAAATATGTTGGGGAAAAAAAAACAACCACTAAGAAAAGTAGCTTCAAAAACCTCCAAAATATATTAAAGGTCCTGCACAACGGGGCGCACACTGTCCTGGGAATCATTAAAGGGCCCAAGTTACATTTCTCTTGCATTTCTTTTCCCCCAACATCTGTTTCTGATTTTTGTTTGGTTTAATGTACCAGAAGAGTGGTTGGTGTAGTGTAGTGGGTGACACTTCTCCCTTCTACACTGTAGACTGGGGTTCAATCCCCCCCTGGGTAAACACCCTACACTACACCAATAAGAGTCCTTGGGCAAGACTCCTAACACTGCCTTCGCCTACCTGAGTAAAATGACCAAACTGTAAGTCGCTCTGGATAAGAGCGTCTGCAAAATGCCGTAAATGTAAATGAGTCGTAATTCATTTTTGCATGACCGTTTTCTAACCTGTCTTTATCCCTTACAGCATCTTTTTAGCTGTGTCCCATTTCAGGGGCTGCATCCTTCGGAGGCTGCATTTGATGACCGACTGCGTCACAGCGGCGCGACTAGGCTGTGCCATTTCGAAGGCTCCTTCGTATGTGGCCGAGAAATGTGTCCTTCTTTTCCATGGCAAGGAAGAACCAACGGGTGAATCCTTCACTAGCCATCATATCCTGAGGTTCACTGCGTGCCGGTGAGGATTCGAGAACATGGCGGCGTCAGCAGAGGAGCGAACGGCGGCTGAGGAGACACTTTAGATGGACGTATTGGGTTTAAACTGAGTCGAATAGCGAACGATACAGATGTTAAAAAAGCCAATGTGGTCTGAAGCTAAACTAACGCTAATGTTTCGTTTTGTTTTAGGGAGCAAAGAGCCGACAGAGAGAAGATCTTCAGCTCTAATAAATGAAAAATAAAAACTAAAATTAAAGTTTGTGGTTCTGTCTTTAAAGAACTTTAAAAGAACTTGACAGGAGCGCCTTTTCGTGATGCAGTGGTAAGAGCGGGAACAGCGGTGCTGTGGCGCAGACAGGAAATCCACCATAGAGCAGACTGTCTCATTTCGGTTCAGCCTTCGTGGGTCTACGCAGCCTTCGAAGGACACGCCTTCATAGGCCGCATCCTTCAAAGGATGCAGTCCCTTAATTGGGACACACCATTTGTCTTTAACATGAGTGGGCGGAGCTTAGCTGTTGTAGGCTGAACTGTAAATTTATTGGTTTTCGTGACAAAAACAGCTCATTCAAAACAGGCAGCTTGGTTTTCTTGGACTGTCTGGACTGAGGAGTGACCTGTACAATTTGAAACTTTAGTAGTGTTTACATATTACTGTTTACTTAAAAGTGAGGAGAATTTGTTATGTTATGATTTGATATGGCTCTTTTAGAGAGAATGCACTTAAAACAGGTTTGGTTTTCTCTTCTATCTGAAGTGGCAGCACTTGAGCAAAACTGGGCGAAGTTCTCATCAAACGTAGTAATAAAACGGAGGCCAGAATGACTGAATGTGCAGGACCTTTATGTGCAGCACATTGTGTACAAACATGGTCAGACGTGGAAGCCCGTGGTCTTCCCAGCGATTAGCGAAGGCACTTGTTAGAGCAGACCGGTCTTCAAACTCAGCATCGTTATTTTCCGTTGACACTCTTGGATTCGTCCACCTTCTGGTGATCCATGATTTTGATGGTTCTCTCCGCATTGTCCATGTTCCTTATCAGAGTCTCGAGTCGTCGCTTGATCTTCTTCTGGTCTTCCAGCGCACAGCTGATCACGATGGTCTGGAACTTCTGGTCTATGGGGACGGGTGGAGCCTCGGTGACGCAAGCGGCGTGAAGAGCCTGCAGCCTCTTCCTCGCGCTCTCCATGTCGTCCAGCACTTTAGCGGCGATCTCATCGATGACGGCCATGGCTCTCCTCAGGGCGTCTTCCTGCTGCGCGTTTCGGATGGTATCCACAGTGACCTGCACAGTCAGTGTCCTGTTCATGAGCCTGTTGGCGGTCAAAGTGAGCTCCTCTCGTTCTCCTGGGGGCGGGAGGGGAGAAACGGGCTCGGTTATTAAGGAGTTACACCCTTTTGAGAAGTGATAACAAAGATCCAGTTTCAGAGACTTACCGTCACATATGGTTCTCATTTCCTGGCTGTTCTGAATCGACTGAATCATCTCCAGTAAGCTGTCCCTCTCCTGCTCCATGGCTGTAGCCGCCTCCCTCAGGGCCTCCACCCTGGAACAAGATCCTTATGAATCTCTATGACTCTTACACGGACCATTCTGAGTGACGTAACACGTTAAAATGACATCAAACCCCAAACAAGACCTCGGTCAGTCACTTAGAGTGACCGTCCATGATTTATAGAGAAACAAAGTCCAGTGAAGCAGTTTCACTCGAGAGCACAAGGTTCACGGTTAACGGATCAGATGCTGACAACTGAGTGTGTTTACGGCACATAATCGGATTTCTGCAGCCATCTGATTATTCAAATGATCATGTAAACACCATAATCCAATCTAGAAATCTGATTAAGCAATCTGATAAAGAGGCTGGATTTTAGCTCAGTAATCAGATTTGTCAGTGTGTGTGAACTCTTACTCTGATTTCTTTCAGTTTTCTCAGTCTGCACATGCACGAGATCAGACAGCGGTACTGGAAATGAGTGAGCAAGTCGCAGCAAAACACTTTTGGATCGACGCTGAAAGCAAACACAGTTTGAATTTAAATACTCTTCATCTTCTAGATGATGTATGTTCATAGTTTCAGGTAAAGCAGCGCAATGTTTAAAAAAAAAGCGTGTGAAATTCAAATTTTACGTTACGTTTACGTCACGTCTTCTGTGAGTTTATTGGCTGGTTGTAAATCAGAAATCCAATTATTGTCTGACTCATGTAGAACTGGAGTTTCCACCATTGTCTGGCACTCAAATGCCAGACCATGTATTCATCAGACTGGACTGGTGACACACTGATGACCAAGCTGTGCCCGTGCATGATTGTCTGCATGCACGTGAATAAGACCAGACTCCTGATCCTGCTGATCGACCACGCTGTACCCAGACTCTGTATGTGGAAATAAACTCCAGTCAGTGCTGAAGCTCCAGTCTCCTGACTCCTCCTGCCGAATTCCTAACAGCTTGTAAACACACTCAGGGTCTTGTGTTCAAACAACCTCAAACACTCAACTGAATGTGTTTGGAATTAAATGTGAAGCAGAAAATGCAACCAACTTCTAAGACCAAAGGTGTGTAGAAATATCCTTGAAACTGAAAGCAGGTCTGCTAAAAAATGTATTATTTGCTCTAATAAAGGTGGGTGGACACACTAAACACTGAAAAATGTAATATATTTAGCTACTGTTCTGTGAAATTCTGTATTAAATATGTTTTTGGCTGTTTTTCTGATGCTGCTAAATGAACACTTTGTGGCCGCTTTAATAGCTTTAATTAAATAAATGAAGGGTGGACAATGACTTTAACTGTATAGAGCACACAACAGTTTTCCTTACAATATTATTGTATTAACTATTTTTTGAAAAACAATGTTTTAACAACCATTAAACCTCCTTCAGAAACGAGCCTGAACCTTTACAGTTATACAAAAGATGGTTCTTCAAGGGGTTCTTTAGTAAAAGCAATGGTTCTCTATAGAATTATGAACATTCAGAGAACCTTTTGCAAGCTAAAATGGTGAAATTGTCCTTCAGATTGACAGAGAATGTGTTCTACATGGTTCTATGTAGACTCTTTTTTGAAAAGGGTTCTATATAGCATCAAAAAGTTCAAGAACCATCCTTTACAAACAAGCCTTTACCTTTACACTCTTAAAAAAGACGGTTATTCTTAGACGGTTCTTTAGTAAAGACAATAGTTGTATCTAGTCACAATGAACACTCGAAGAACCATTTGCAAGCTTAAATGGTTCTCTGCATGGTGAACTGGTTCTTCAGATTCAGAAGAGAACGTGTTGTATATGGTTTTATATGGACTCTTTCTGAAAGTGTTCTATATAGCACCAAAACGTTCAAGAACCATATCACTATGCAGAGATAACCTTTAAGCATGCAAATGGTTCTCTGAGTGTTTATGGGTGTATATAGAACCAATGTCTTTACTAAAGAACCCTTGAAGAACCATCTACTACCTCTGGAGTGCATGTCTGTCAGATGTAATAAACTGGTTATAGACATTTTTACAGAAGTCCAGAGAGGCCATGAGGTAGTTACAATTATCTGGATTGTCATCTTGCGATAAGGAGTTAACTGTCTTGTGATCTCAAGATAACAGTTATCTTGAGGTAACAAGTTAATTATCTTCTGATCTCAAGGTAAAAAAGTTGTTTTCTTGTGATCGCAGGATAACAAAGTTGTCATCTTGAGATAAGGAGTTTTTTACCTTGTGACCTTGTGACGAGTTAACTGTCTTGTGATCTCAACAAAGTTGTTATCTTGAGATATGGAGTTAATTATCTTGTGATCTCAAGGTTACAAAGTTGTTATCTTGTGATCTCAGCATAACAAAGTAATCTTGAGATAACGAGTTAATTACCTTGTGATCTTGTGACGAGTTAATTACCTTGTGATCTCAAGACGACAAAGTTGTTATCTTGAGATATGGAGTTAATTACCTTGTGATCTCAAGTCGACAAAGTTGTTATCTTAAGATATGGAGTTAATTATCTCGTGATCTCAAGACAACAAAGTTATCTTGAGATAACAAGTTAATTATTTCGCGATCTCAAGATAAAGTTATCTTGAGATCCCAGGGTAACAAAGTTGTTATTTTGATATAACAAGTTAATTATCTGGTGATCTCGAGATAAAGTTATCTTCTCAAGTTATAGTTGTTATCCTCAAGATAAAGTTGTCATCTTGCGATCTCAGGGTAACAAAGTTGTTATCTTGAGATAACGAGTTATCTTGCGAAGAGTTAATTATCTTGTGATAAGGAGTTAACTATCTTGTGATCGCACATTCTACACAGAAACCTGGAGTAACAGTTTCAGCTCAGCTGTAAAGGAGATGGAGCCCTTTTGAGCTCTTTTCCGGCGGCTCTGCTGCTGTTTACCGTCTGCGCTCTTTGCCTCGCGGCTACATTTATAGCCTCTGAACAGCTACAGTTCAACAGCTGCTGCTCTGCCGGCTCGGTCAGCAACTCTCAGCGCAGCTCTCCTTATTCTGATGAGCTCCGCTGATCATACAGCACAGTATAAACCACATACAGGTGTTCATGAAGCGATAACGCTGATCATATTCGCGCTGTAGACCCGCAGCACTTAGTTGGCTGAGCAGAAGAGCAAACCCACCTCATTTCGACCTCATCCAGACTCTCCAGTAATCGATTGGAGCGATCAGCCATTGAGATCGTCCTGCTGAATTTGCCAGACTTGGCGGCGTCGCTCATTTTGGCGCTTATTTTGGCCTGGGCCATGGCGGCGGGCTCCTGCGTTCAGCGGCGAAACTCTTCAGATCGAGCAGCTGAGAGCTCTCCCGTCCTCTCCGGCTCCTTCTAGCGCTTTCCGTGACGGACAGCGCCCCTGAGGAAACATCTCCAAACATGGGCCGGAACTTCCTCGAGGCGAATCCTGCTGCCCTCGGGGTCAAAGCAGAGGAGCCGGAGGACAGAAGAGACTCAAACACGCTTTTCATGGAAATAAACCCTTTTTTCCTCCACAGCTTCGATCACTTATTGATTACACGTTGTTTCACACTGAGCTTATAAAACACGCGTTTACCCCCTTAGTGACCTTTATTGTTTACTGTTCTGCAAAATAAAAATGAGAATTCCCTGCCGGAAAAAACCCCAGCGCAAACCAGGATGAATTAAGAGCTGGTCGACACTGGTTTATGATGCTCTAAATTGGTGTACGCTGGTCTAAACTGGTTTGGTGCTGGTTTGTAATGCTCTAAATTAGTTTATGCTGGTCTAAACTGGTTTGGTGCTGGACTACACTGGTCTAAACTGGTTTGGTGCTGGATTATGATGCTCTAACTTGGTTTATACTGGTCTGAACTGGTTTGGTGCTGGCTTATAATGCTCTAAATTGGTTTATGCTGGTCTAAACTGGTTTGGTGCTGGTTTATAATGCTCTAAATTGGTTTATGCTGGTCTAAACTGGTTTGGTGCTGGGTTACACTGCTCTAAACTGGTTTGGTCCTGTATTATGATGCTCTAAATTGGTTTATACTGGTTTAAACTAGTTTGGTGCTGGTTTATAATGCTCTAAATTGTTTTATGCAGGTCTAAACTAGTTTGGTGCTGGACTACACTGGTCTAAACTGGTTTGGTGCTGTATTATGATGCTCTAACTTGGTTTATACTGGTCTGAACTGGTTTGGTGCTGGTTTATAATGCTCTAAATTGGTTTATGCTGGTCTAAACTGCTTTGGTGCTGGTTTATAATGCTCTAAATTGTTTTATGCAGGTCTAAACTGGTTTGGTGCTGGGTTACGCTGATCTAAACTGGTTTGGTGCTGGTTTCTAATGCTCTGAACTGGTTTGGTGCTGGTTTATAAGATAGACAGACAGACAGAGAGACAGACCGATAAATAAATAAATAGATAGATAGATAGATAGATAGATAGATAGATACTTTATTGATCCCGAAGTAAATTTAGCAGCCATTATCAGTCACACAACACAGCAGAGTTACAATAATAAGGGTGATACAATATAAAAAGAATATATACAAAAATCCTATCTACAGGCATAAATACAACTAAAAGTATACAAAAATATGCAATAAGATCTCTCCTGAGATAAAAAAAAAGGCAGTGCAATAATGATGTACAAGGAGGCGCAGGTAACGGCATATAATGACAATACTGAATCAATATGTGCAGATATTGGTACTGAAATAAAGTGTCCAGGTGTGGAGTGTCCAGTACAGTAAGGTGTCCATATGTGCAGACAGATAAAATAAACCTGTAATTTAGCATAAGAGATTCAGTCCTCATCTCTCCTCTCTCCTCTTCTGGCCCCACTGGGAAGAGCTGAAGAGCCTGATGGCTCTGGGGACAAAGGATCTCCTGAGTCTGTCAGTTGAGCAGCTCTGTGACACCAACCTGCCACTAAACATGCCCCTCTTGTCCAGGATGATGGTCTGCAGCAGGTGGCCATCATCCTCCATAATGGAGAGCTGTTTGTGCAGTGTCCTTCTCTCGGCCAACTGATGTGGTGGTGGTGTGTTGGTGTGTGTTGCGCTGGTCTGAGTGGATCAGACACAGCAGTGCTGCTGGAGTTTTTAAACACCTCAGTGTCACTGCTGGACTGAGAATAGTCCACCAACCAAAATTATCCAGCCAACAGCGTCCTGTGGGCAGTGTCCTGTGACCACTGATGAAGTACTAGAGGATGACCAACACAAACTGTGCAGCAGCAGATGAGCTATCGTCTCTGACTTTACATCTACAAGGTGGACTGACGAGGTAGAAGTGTCTAATAGAGTGGACAGTGAGTGGACACAGTGTTTAAAAACTCCAGCAGCACTGCTGTGCCTGATCCACTCATACTCACTCTATGAGGGTCCATGGGGGTCCTGACCACTGAAGAACAGGGTAAAAGGGGGCTAACAAAGTATGCAGAGAAACAGATGGACTACAGTCTGTAACTGTAGAACTACAAAGTGCACCTATATAGTAAGTGGAGCTGATAAAATGGACAATGAGTGTAGAAACAAGGAGGTGGTCATAATGTTATGACTGATCTGTGTATAATTCTAGTCTATAATTCGGATGTGTTCACTTATTTTCACTTAGAAAATAAACATCATTTGATCAGGGGCCCAAACTTTTACATACGACTGTAAATTTAATCTTGAAAAACACATCAGCAGATTTCTGTCTAATTAAATAAGGAGTCTGATTAAATGTGGAGTCAAATCTCCCTCTTCATGGAATGACCCTGTTGTGTTTGAGAGAAAGGCTATCAAGAAAGACAGTAAAAAACATCCGGAGCTCTTCAGTTCTCTTTATTTAATGTTCAGAACACATTCACAAAGACTTTTTACAGAAACATATAGAAGGTGAAAATAAACAATCAGATTAGCCTCATCAGAAGTCCTGCAGGCTTCTTTTCAGTGCTTCTTCCATGTCTGTAAAAATGAAGAGATTTAGTTAAATCATTTCCTTTTACTGGCGTTTTGAACACACCTATAAAAAGGACGAATTAAAGTTCTTCAAGGGTTCTTCAGTAAAGGAAATGGTTCAATTTGGAACTATAAATTCTATATAGAACCATTTCATGCTTAAAAGTTCTTGGTGAAAAGTTTCTTCAGACTGATATCTGAGGGACATTCAGCAGACCCGCCCCTAACTACTTAGTGTGACTTCATCGAGCTGCGACATCAGCATCAGTAATTCGGCTCGGAAAATCACCCAAAATCCTGATACTATCGCTCTGCTTTTTGACCTTTATATTCCAACAAAGGGTTAAAACAGCGACATCATTCACACATCAGATCACTCATCAGACTCTGACCCACCATCCAGAGTGATTTCATCCACCTATAACCATCAATCAGCCAGCAATCCAGCTCCAAAATCACCCAAACCCACTCGCTACCGTTATATCACATCTCTGCTTTCATGTTATAAACAAAGGGTTAAAAACAGCGACATGATTTACAGACCAGATCACTCAGAGGAACCTGACCTCACTAGCCAGAGCGAGAGAAACCAGCTCAAACATCCCACAACCCAGAAATACAGCACAAAACACAGTCATAACCACTGTGAAACCTGCTATTAGCTCTCTGCTTTAGCCTTCATACGGCAACAAAAGGGTTAAACATTATGCAGTAACAGCAGAGCTGGTTCTCTGGTAATGGACATCTGTACGCGTCTCTCTCGCACTCTCCATGTTACAAATGGCCTCTTGACCTTTACGTGACATCACATCCGGAGCAGAGAAAGCGGAGCTGAGAGCGCAGTACTGTGGCTCTGCAGCTACACCCGACTCAAACACCCAATTCAGCTCCTGATTGGCTCAGTAATTAACTGATGAGTTCAATCAGCGGTGCTGGAGGGAAACTGTGCAGTTCAGAAACACGGGACTGAGATCAGGAAACACTGGTCTAAACCAATCACAGCCGGTTTGAGTTCTGAATTAAACATTAAGTACTGGAATACTTACACCAGCAGAGTGTAAGTGCTTCAGTTCAGTTCGAAAGTTTGGAATCACTTATACTGATAATTGCTGTTATTTTATTCAATACAATAATTTATACAATGCAGACTGAAAAGGTATTTTGAGAGGTTTTTTTGTTTTAAGAATTTTTTTAAGGGACACAAAAGTTACTTAATGATTATTCTGTAATTATTTATTCATAATAATTTCCTGATAAATTACCTGCCTGCGATTAAATCCCCTCGTTTCGAATATGAGCCATATATTAATCTTAGTACAAGTTTAAAAGCTCTTTAATATATTATTTCCCAGTCATTTTAGAAACATCTACAGCTCCGTCCATCATTCTGGACACATTAATATTTCCTTACATTTTACAGTTTCCTTACTGAAAAAAATAATCATTTATTTGTGACATAAAAGTGATTTCAAATGTTTGAATGTGCACAGATATTGTGACAATCTTATGCAAACGTTTGGGCTCCCCTGGTCAAATTAAGTTGTGTGTAGTGAAAATAAGTGATCACATCCTCTAAAGAGAACATTTTAATGCACAGTAACTGTTTAGCCTGCTGAATTTACATATTGGGAAATAATAAAACAGGTGCTGAAGTTGCACATTTCATATCTTATTATTTTTTACCCAACATGTCTGGACATTTTAGTGCACAATGACAAAATAACACTGTGCACTAAAATGTCCAGATGTGTGTTCTCTGTAGAGGATGTGTTCACTTAGGTTACATTCACACAGCAGGTAAAGTGGCCCAAATCTGATTTTCTCACCAAATCCGATTTTTTTGTTTGGCTGTTCACTTATCTTAAATGTGATCTGTATGCGACAGTCTGAACAGATCAGCTCCTAAACTGACCCACATGCACAAAAGAACAGAGCGTCACGCTGCTTCACGGCTCATCCAGAGGTAAACAATCACGACCGCCAACGAACGCCAGTCGCTCCCGGAGGATCAGCTTCATCTTCACCAGCATCACAGGAGCCATCATGAAGCTTCGCTGACTGACAGCTGGGCTCATCACCCAGAATGTGTTCGAGCCGTAAAAAGGGCGCGGTCACTTCTTTGGTTTGCGTCCTCGATTTCTTTAAACTTTGCTTTCAGACTTTTAACTGTTCTTTGACGCTGCAGCCTCGTTCTCCTGCGGCCGCGTTCGGACATTTCTTATAAAACTCTTTGAACACGGAGGGTTTTGGATGAGTCTCTTCTAATTTTGGACAGAAATATCAGCCCAAATGTTTTTGAGTCTCAGCAGCGCAAAATATGATGAATGTGGAGTTGGATTGACGTAAAAGTCGCATGAATTCTGATCTGGCTGTTCAGACTGAGTCGCATTGCCGCAGACTGGATACATATCGGATTTCAGTACCACATATGAGCACGTCTCAAAGCGGAATTGAAAATGTCAGATTCAGTGTGTTTATCTGTTCACACTGACACACAGACACACATCTGTGTCACATATGAAGAAAAAGATCGGATTTGGGCCACTTTAACCTGCTGTGTGAACAAAGCCTTATTTTAAGTTAACAAATTAACAATAGCAGGCCATTTGACTAAGAGGGTTTAAAATTTTGCATACGACTGTAAGCTCTTTGGTGAAGGGGTTAAACGCTGCCTTTCACCACTGCCTGTTAGACAGACAGGCAGAAAACATTACTGAGTGCTACATCTGTGGTCACACCAGTGCCATTAAACAGAAAGCCTCCAACACTGAACCATGCAGGCTGTCTGAAAGTGCTCCTCATCACCCAAACTGCTGTTTATCCCTTAACAGCCCATCGTGAGTTTAACAAGCTGATTCAACATACCTACACTGGTATCCCTTTTCATGCATGCAAAGCTAGTAAAATAAAAAAGTTGATGAATTAAAACTCTCGCCATGAACATTCAGGGCTGATTTACCAGCTTTGGCAATTAAGAATGTAGGCAGTCTGACTCACCTCGATCAAACTCTGTCGGCTTCTTCGCCTCCTCTGCACTTAAAGCCAAGGCCAGTTTCACCTCCTCATCGAAGTCATCTTAAGGAGATGAAAGTCTTTTATACGTATTTTCTTATAGAAAAAATACAAAATTCCACTGATTTTTCAAATGTTGTGCGTAATTAAGTGGTTAAGATGTAAACAGAGTCATTCAGAGTGGTTTGGTGTTGTTCACAGTGGTGGTGATAGGAACCAGATGTCCACCTCTAAAAGCTCCCTCACAGCAAGTTACTACATGAAACGGTTATGAATTCACTGCCTGATGTCTGAGACACTGTTTTACGATGGATTTTGAAGATTTTGGTCTAAAATGTTTTTTTTTTTTAATGTATTATATTCAAGGCAGAGAGGTACATGCAGAGTGTTGTAAGGCAAAATACACTTCACCGTTAATCAACGCTACGCATGAGTTAGTTAGTTTCTCCACAGTAAAAACATTTCACATCAAACCACTCTGAATAACTCTGTTTACATCTTGGTGACTGATTTATGCATAAATTCTGAAATATCTATGAAACGTCCCTTTAAAAAAAAGAAGAAAAAAAAGAAAAATCTTGTAAATTCATGTCAGATTCACCATGGTTACCTTTACAATCCTCAGGATCTTCTTTAGAAACATCGATGCTCGAAGCAATGGCACTCTTTACCTCCTGAAACTCCTCAGCTAGAAAAACAAGAAAAACAATCTGAATAATTGATAAGCTGTCTACAGTCACCTCTTACGACATTTCATAATTCTGTGAAGTTCTTCATTTTATAAACAGTAGAAAAAAGTCTAAAGGTCTTTACACACTCGATGCGATTTGTGCAATTTATTTAGACATCTATAAATTACATGTGAACATGTGTACAAGTGATATATCACACACCAAATGGAGTTCTTCAGAATGCAGAAATGCAATATTTTATTCACTCTTGGTTCGGTTTTTGCGAGTTTTCACAGGTAAGATAAACTGACTTGACCAATCACTACTTTCTGGCACTGCCAAGCTGACGGATTAGACGCGCCCCAGCTAGGAATGTCCTAAGAGTCCTCTTATTTGGGTAACCATTTGGAAAATAACCCGTTTAACACTTAAACCGAAACGTTTCATCCTGTAATTGTAAAGCAAACTTTACTCTCTGAGGGTTTGTGGCTGCTTAGCTTTGCCCTTTGCCTTCTTCTCTGAAGCCATTTGAAACGACCCATTCGCCTGATAAACGAGAGCCGAGTCGTGTTTTTACTCGTGTGTTTTTCCCAGGACAAAAGCCGTTTTTCATTCTGAATCCTGACGCTGTGGTGTGACGATCCTAAAATGTACGTTGTACCATAGAGTTGGCATTTTGTAGGCATGATATCTGCTTGCAACACACAGCATGTTTAACCAGCTCAGCTGTGTTTCTAGAATAGTCTAATATATGTTAGGTACAATAAATTATTAATGTACACACTTAGAATGATGGTTCTTCAAGGGTTCTTTAGTAAAGACAATGGCTCTATATAGCACCATGAACACTCAAAGAACCCTTTGTATAATTAAAGTGTTCTTTGCATCGTGAAAGCGTTCTTCAGATTGATGCAGAATGTGCTGTAGATGGTTCTATATAGAACCTTTTTGAATAGCACTAAAAATGATTCTTCTATGGTTAAAAGCTTGACAACATTACAATAGTAGAACACTTTTTGATGCTATATAGAATCACTTTGGACAACCTAATGTTCTCCTCATTCAGCGGTCCATGGCTGCTCAGCAACTACACCATACACTAAAGGAACTACATTTCTCGGCGGAATACTTGTTTATGTTTATTATTAATAACTTATTTTCTGAAAAATTGTGTATTTTATTATAGTTTATGTTGGCCATCGTTTTCTAAAAGCAATAACCACTTGGGACGCTTACCGTCGTGTCTAAGAACACCCTTCCCCGTGATAAAACCGCAGTAATGCACGGCCTCTCACGGCTTATGGCTTTATTAGATCACCATCACAATATTGGTCAGAAAATCACATTTAGATATTTTCCCCAAATTGTTCAGCCCTACAGTGGAAACCATAAAACCTGTTCACTGATCACATTTCAGGATGGACTGTACTCAATTCTGACACCAATTCAGCCTTTTTTTAAAGGCAAAATGTCACGCATTGTTTTTAGTAAAAAGGTCAAGTGACGTGAAAAAGCAATCAAGGTTTTGCTTTCATTCTGCATGTCACTTTGGAAAAGTAAAGTCATGTGTGCACTGCAGTTCATGTTTTTATACTGCAGTGATTCTATTTTAAACTGGGCACAAATTCCACTCAATATAACGGCCTTAAACTCTTAAATCGAGAGACTGGCTGGGCTCACCGTTCCTGTCTGCAGAGATTTCCTCTGCCTTCAAAACCTTGGGGAGGGGGGACCTCCTTGTCTGTGCCATTGGTTCTAGAGGACACACAGGGTTCCAGTAAGCAGTGATGCTCATGGTAGTGCGAGTGGAAACTGGGAACATCCCTGTGGCTCTTGGAGCACGACAGACAGACAACGTCAAAGCTCTTGTCCTTGCCCGGGGCCTTGTGCTTCAAGTACATGTGCGTTTTCATCTCAGCGTAGGAACAGACCTTCGTCGTGCATCGGTGACAGACGTAGGTGCATTTGTCTTCGCTGGCCAGCTGCTTCATGCACCTCGTGAAGGTGGACTTCTTCTCATCATTGCCTTTTTGGAAGCTCATGCAGGGACAGAGCTGGGGGAGGTTTTTGCTTGTCGTTGGCATCTCCACAGAGCTATCCGGGATCGGATCAGATCCGTTCTCCGTCTTGTCCAAGCAGTAGTAATCCTTGCTGTGCAGACTAACGTAGTGCTCCTGGAACTCCTGCTCGGAGTCGTACAGCATGCTGTCGCAGAGTCCACAGAAGTAGCGAAGGAGCAGCTGGTCGTCATGCTCGTTGGCACAGTGCCGGCGGAGAGTGGACTCTTTGAAAAACTTCTGGGGGCAGTGGCCACAAGCAAACCTCTGGAAGCTGTGGCTGTTCACATCGCTGCAGTGCTTGTGGACCACCGCTTCGGAGTCAAACAGGTCCTCACACATTCTGCATAGCCACCGTTCCTCACGTTTACGAGGACGAACGTGAGAATTAACCGTCGGCCTGCTCTCTGCAGCACTAGTAGAGGGTTTCGGGGAAGGACTGGCCAAGATCTTTTCTACTACATCCTCTCTTTCTTCATAATAAGTGTGCCCCTGGTGGGCAACACCAACGTGAGACAGGATATCTTCCATCCTCGGCATTTGTACTTTGCACAGCCTGCAGAAGAACAGGAAATTGGACAGATGAGCACCGCCGTGAAATCTGCTCATGTGCAACCGAGCGACGGACGACTCGCCCATCAGCTTGCCACAGACGGCACACTTGTGGAAGATCTGATTGGCTGCTAGAAGATGCTTGTTGGCCTGATCCTCCTCCAGGAACCGCAGGCCACACTCGCAGAACCAGGCAAGGTTTAAAGCTCTCTCGCAGTCTGCTTGAGAACCTGAGCTGGAGAGCCTCTGACGCTTGGCAGGAGACTCGTTTTTCCCTCTCCTATCTCGACGTGCTGAATCTTCGGTTGCGCCAGCACGTTTAGAAGGGTGACCGCTGGCGTCCTTGACGCCGTGTCGCATTTCACAGTAGTTGCTGTAGCAGAGAAGCACCTTCTCCACACTGCCAATCATCTCCACCTCGTGCTGCGTCTGCTCTCTGTGCTCCTCTATCTGCCTCCGGCGGAGGAAAGTTTTGGCGCAGGAGGAGCACTGGCCCAAAACTGTCATTTGCTTCATGATCTGAGCCACAGTTTGATCAGCTTCAGCAATAGCACAGCCTTGTCTGCAGTGCACACTGGGAGCAGAAAAAGTAAACATTTAGTTTGTGAATTAAATGTAAAACCGAATATACATATATAAAAAAAAAAAGACTTACTTAAAGTGTGCCTTGGCTTCCATGTGCGAGGCAAGCACCTTTGAACAAGCTGTGCATTTGACACTGAAGGCAACATCCTTACATAAAGCTATGAGCCGGGCCTTTACATATCGAGGAACTGGAATCGGCACTGCTGATGATTTCATATCTGTCATAAAAAATATTTCGAAAATGAGGACACATTTCTCTGAAAACTGTAAGTGTTCATTTATTCTCTCTATTAGGGCTGAACAGTTTAGCACTTATGTCAAAATCGTGATTTGAACAAATCAGATTTTTGAATAGCAAGAGATGCAATTTCAAGTATTTCTCAGGGTCGTTATTAATGAGGATGCACAATATCAGAATCATAACAGTATCTGCAGATATTTGCTTAAAGGGCCCATATCGCACATTTTTTTGTATTTTATTTTTTCCTTAAATAAAATGTGTGTGGTTTTATGTACCAAAAACAGCTTTTATATATACACATTACACACACACACACACACACACACACACACACACACACACATATATACATCCCTTCTTATTAAACAGGCTGTTTTTGTTACTGTGCCTTTCAGACTGCTCTATGTAAATGAGCTCTGTTCTGGTTGGCTGCCTTGTACAGTATTTTTACCTCATTCAAAAGCTGAAACGCTCCTTAGGACATCAATATAATTTCAAAATGAATTCCAAAAGGGCTGTTATTGCAGCTCAGTTTCCATTTACGGACTTTATAGACTGGGAAGTGAACGGTACTTTAACAATTCGGGAAATTTTCCACGATATTGACCCTTTAAATGAATGAATGAATGAACAATTAAACAAACAAACAGTGCCCTCCATTAATATCGTCACCCCTGGTAATCACGAGCAAATGAGCTGTTATTTTTCTGCAAAGCTGAATAAATAAACTTTTGACTTGTAAACAAAAACTCCTAATTATTTATCCTTTTTGATTTTTCATTCATAAAATTACCAGAAATCTAACCTTTATTTAAGGTTATATTTATTTAATGCATAATGACAAAGAAAAAACTAGATCGGGTCATGAAGTAAATATTTTTCTTAAATCTATGTATGCCAAAACTGTTGGCACCCATAGAAATTCTTAGGAGTGAAATCTAACTGGAGGTGTATTCCCATTCATATTTTATGTTTTAAAGTTCACCTGAGCGATTAGGAACACTTAAACGGTCAGCCATGACTTCCTGTTTCATTGGGAAACATACACGAGATGAAACACAGAAAATGATACGTGTATCAGCATCAGCAGCACAAAAATACTGGATATCGGCATCGGCCCAGAATGAGCCTTATCGGTGTATCATTATTGTGGTGTTAACAGCTATTTAGAGTGCAGATTCGACCCCATGAAAATAGAAGCGTAAACTGCCTGTATAGAAGTTTGACTGTTCAGAAGCAACTGAATATCCTGACGACAACACAGCCACAGCTGACCGTCACAGTCTGGCATTCCTTTTGCATCGTGTGCAGTTTTGTATGCTGTCCTTAGTTTCCACGGTAACTAAACAGATCATTAAGATGCTTATAAATTCTTACAAACACTTAGAGGTTTTTATTGTTTAAGACTTTTTCCCCCCCATTCAGATTTTCAAATAGGGTAATTGTATTGCTTTCTATTTTCATTGAATCCTCATAATTAGTTTTAATTACGGTTGTTTAAGTTCTTTTGATTGTAAAAGTTATTTCATTTGACTTTTTTTCATGTAGGAACAAGATACTACTGTTCACATATGTGCAATATCCTCATTTACAATACCATAGCTGCTAAATTCTTTTATATCCACCCTTTTATTTTACTTATTTTACTTTTTTATAATTTTATTTTCAATTATTTTATAGTTTATTTTTTATATAATTTTAAATGATAAAAAAATAGTCTTTTCTTTTAATATCTTGCATTTTATATTTCACATTAGCCTATATTTTTGCTTTATTCCCAGCTTAATCTTTTTTTTGTTTACGCACCGTTAGGACCGCTAACCAATTTCGTTGTACCCTGTGCAATGACAATAAAGAATCTTGAATCTTAAATCTTGTTTGTAATTATGGTTAATAAATGTCTGATACTATGTAGACCACCAATACAGACCTGGAGCGTAATCTAAAGAAAATAAATGCAATTTTGGTTAAAAAAAAAAATCTCAATTAGACATTCCCCAAATCAATCAGCCTCACTCTCAATGTCCAGTTAAGCAGAGTGGATTTACATCATCTACTGAGCAGCTTTTAGAGAGTACAGAATCATCACTAACCGCTTAGAGAGATGGACTGAGTGAAGTGGTTTCTGGCTGCCATATGCTGGAGACACTCGTCTCGGATATTGAAGAGGAGGTAGCAGGCAGGACAAGCAAAGCACACAATCAGCTGGCAGGTTTGAGAGCTGACATGGCCCCTGGCATCTGAGGAGGACAACTGCAAAAACAATCACACCAGCGTTAGGTCAGAGGTCATGATGTCCTGTACAACCCTGTGAGGAAAGGCACAATACAGCTTTTCACACTCTAGACCTTCGCAAACAGGAAGAGGATGAGTATGAGCCAAAACAAAGTCATTCTCATCCGAACAATGTATGACATCCGTTTAAACTCACTGTACAAACTAAAACCAGGTTATCAATGAACAGATAATAAATGGATGATTTTTAATAGCCTGACCTCAGTCGGGGTCCTGTCCCTGTTAAAAACTATATCTTAACATAAAAAATGCATTATACACACAGCCTAAAGTTTAATGGAAAGACAAAAAGAAAAACAGAAACCTTTGAGTCCATGTGTGTCCTCCATAACTCTTTGGTGTCAAAGTGCTGACCACAGGCCACACAGGCATAGACAGGTGTGGAGTGGCCTTTAAGGGTGATGGTGGGGTCACACGGAGAGTGGTCAAATCTGTGCATTCAATACAAACAGGAAACCTGAGCTTGTGCACATTTGATCACTGCACAGAATACTGTGTGTCGGCCTGGGCCGGTAAGAGAACGCTCTTATTCGAAAAACAGCGATTAAAAAATAATAATAAAATAAAAATAATAAAAAGAGATTGGTAGAATATTTTTTCTTTTTTCCTTTAGTTTGCCATTTATTTGACAGATAACTTTGTACTATTAATTGTGCAGTTCTTTCTTAGTAGAGTAATTACAGTTTTACTGCCAAATTAAGCAGGACAGTAAACTATAACCACAACGTTTACTAAACTGTGCTGCTGTTTTTTTTTATTTGACAAAGATTGAGATTCAGCTCACACTAACTACTATCTCTGTAAGTACATCTGCTGATGCTTCCAATATCACTGATAATGTGTCCAAAGCATCAGCAGATGAACTTATAAAGATTACAACAACAATAACAAATATTAACAGTAATAATAGTAATAAACAGGCCAGTTTCTTCCAGCTTAGGACAATCTCCAGGTTAAAATAATTCCTTAATGCTTCAGATCTGGAAAAAGTCATTCATGCCTTTGTGACTTCTACAGTGGATAACTGTAATGCACTTTATTTTGGAATTATCAAAGCATCTCTGGCTTGTTTACAACTAGATCAAAATGCTGCAGTCAGAATGTTAACTGGTACGAAGAAAAGAGAGCACATTACCCCAGTTTTAGCACCCTTACACCGACTCCCAGTGCATTACAGAATCCAATATAAAATGGCACTGATGGTGTTTAAAGCCCTGAATGGTCAGGAACCTGCATGTCGCTGCTGAGCTCAGTTTTTCACATAATTTAAATATGCCTGTTGGTCTTTACATTGTGTGTAAATTTCATGAAGAATGGACCAAAAGAAACGACCCAAAATTACTTAGGAAAACGCCTGGTTTCACTGACTTACATTAAAAGTAAAGTAGGTTTTTTCCTCCTCCTGTAAAGTTTCCATTTTGGAGATACGAGGTTTTCAGCAATATGTTGAGGGCGCATACATACAAAGCACGTCCACAAGATCTTTAAGGTCTGCATCCCGATCACTTTTAACTGTTCCACGGTCTCGTCTTAAAGAAAAAGGGGATCTTTTGTTGTCACCACACCCAGACTTTGGAATGGTCTCCCAAGTGACATTAGGCTCTGTGACTGTTTTTAAAACCAAGCTTAAAACACACTTTTATTGATCAGCATTCAGCAGCCAATGAACTGTAGACTGAGGACTGTACACTGTTGTGTGAATGACGGAGGTGTTCGGAAGGTGGAAATCCCTTTTGTGTTTTACTGTAAAGCACCTTGGCTTTAAATGTGCTACATAAATCAAATTTTCTTACTTACTAATAATAATAATAATTGCAGTTCTCTATCACCTGGTAATTTTATGACAGTTCCGAACACTGAAGCAGATGTGAGAGCTAACAGTGATAGCATACGGGCTGAAGCTTAGTCTTCAATTCATTTTCAATTTGTCATCTTTAATTTGGCCACAAAACTGTAATTAATCTAGTAAGAAAGAATCGTCCACGTCTGTAGCCGCTAAGATCAGTTTGACTGTATCAGAGCCGAGACGCAACACTGTTTTTCCTGAGATCTGAAGCTGTTCTGTCTGACATCTGAAACCTGACACTGGCCTGAAGGAGTCCTAAAATGTACACTGTAACATGGGCAGCTGTTTGGTAGGCATGGTATCCACCTGCAGCACTGAGTGCATAAAACCAGCACAGCTCAGCTGCATTTCTACAAAAATCTCATCTATTATTGGTACAATAAATGCTGGAAATCACACGCACAACATGTTTTGAATTCAGTTATAATCATGTGTAGGAATACTAGAGTCTTGCTGTGGTTTGCATGAAATAAACACATTTTAAACCGGGGTAAATGAGTTTTACCATCACTGGGAGGCTGTTACTGCAGTAACTCTCACCAGTCACCAGGCACAGGCCTATTAATGTGCCTTCCTGCATTCAGGGAAGCAAATTGGGTGGCTTACCAAACCACAAAAAAGACCTTTATTGCAAATATATAAAAATTCTACTCTTTTTTCTTTGGCCATATTACTCCAAACCCAAAACAACTCGGAGGTAAGTGCACCATCACTACTCAGGAGTGTATATCCAATTCTAAATCACAGACACCATCAAAACACTGACCTTTTAAGGTGACCCTCGAGGAGAGGGATGTTATCATAAACTCTGCCACAGTTAATCACAGGGCAGGTTTGAGGGGAGGACTTGAACGCGGAAGCAGGAGCAGATCTGCGCCTCCAGCTTGTGCCAGTGTGGAGGACACCAGGCTTTAATCCTGAGGAACATTAGAAGTCTTATAATCTACACGACCACAGCAGACATGAAGAAAGTAGAATTATCAGGATTATACAGCTTATTTCATGCACTCTTATATGGTTTTTTCCACGAGGCAGTGCAGTACAGTCCAGAGATAAATCAGCGAGCACACATTTTGTCATCATTTTTGTCATAATTGATGCTGCTGCATGCATATTCAAACTATTTAATCAAAAAAATTTCCCCTTTTTCAGAGGATGGGTTCCCGTTTTGAGTCTTGGTTCCTCTCAAGGTTTCTTCCTCTTGCTTTTAGGGAGTTTTCCTGCCACTGTCATGCCACTGGCGACGCTCATGGGGGCTCAGACCCGGATTTTTCTGTAAATCTGCTTTGTGACAACACCTGCTGTAAAAAGCGCTATATAAATAAACTTTGCCTTGACTTTGACTTCCACTGCCAAGTGACCCTGAGTCTGAGCATCCGTGCCGACTTTATTCACCCTTCTTGCCCTAGTGTACCAAGTACCAAGTGTGCTGAGCCGGAATGTATGAGCGGAGCTAGTAATAGTGCAGACGATAAAGTGTCTGTGTTTACATGCAAAGATTTTTGCCAATCCAATGAAATACATGCTGATTATAGATTCAGACCGAGGTGTTTATATTCTCACTCTACTCAACAATACGATTGTTGTTCTCTGTTTACATGCTCACTACAACTACAACGTTACCATGACAGCGAGCATCACGTGAGTCCAGGCAGAGTTTTCCATCTGGAGTGCTTGTTTTTTTTTTATATGTGGCACTATCCATTATTTACAGGATTACCCACCTCCTTCCATCGGATAGAAATTGTATTCCGAACGGCCTCAAACGGACTAGTCTATTCCGACTGAAGTATATACATGGACGTATTCTTTTCCAATTGAGCTATTAGTCGGATTATTAATGGATTACCAGACTGCATGTAAACATGGCTACTGCTGAACAGACTATCAGAAGATAGCCATCGAATCCAGTAAAAAAACAAATCAAAATTGGAAGCTCTTTTACTGTTGCTACTGTTGTTTGTGTTTACTGTTAATGCTGGATTCCTGTGAGAAATCGTGACATGTTCAGCATTTATTTTTTATTGTTGTTAACTATGAAGCCTTTGGATTAAATAGCAAGCCAGCAGTAAAGTGGAGAGGCTGTATCATCAATCGTGTGGAACAGATAAAGTGGTTTGCTACCTTAAACCCAGTCTGAAGAGAGCATGTTACCGATGTCATGGTTTTGTAATATAAAGTCTATGTGCAATATTACTCTGCACTGAGGTTCATTACTGGAGACCCACTTAACACTCATCACTGCAGACTGTATGAAAAAGTTGGTTGGCCCTCACTAACAACACGGCAGGAAACACACTGGTTTATTTTTATTATAAAAGAATCTCCGGCTATATGCCAGAATATATTACTTCAATAGTGTCTGTAAATAATGGTATTTATCAGACTCGCTCCAGTGGTTGGATCACATGCCAGGTACTGAGGGTTTTACTGAACTAGGAAAATCTGCTTTTAGTTACAGCACCAGCGAGCTGGACCCTCATTACAGGAAACACTACAGCTCAGCTCGCTGGGTCACTCAGTCAGTTTAAACTCTTGCTCTCTAACCACCTCCACTCTGCCTGTTTTACCTGATTTTCTTTACCATTAGTATCACCTTATATTCATTATTTTGTTATTTATTTGTTTGCTTATTTATTATTATTCATATTCTTATTTTATGATTTTTTTTCATTATTTTCATTAATTTTTAGTTTACTTTTTGATCTTATTCTCCTTCTATTTTATTTTGATTTTATTAACTTTTACATTTTAGCTCCGTTTTAATTATTGTTTTATATTATTTATTGTATTCTATGTATTTTTATTATTAATGTTTCTTTTTTATACTTACCTGATTTGAGTCAATTTTTCATTAAATTTACTTCTTTATTGATATGTTCTTACACATGATCAATCCCTTTTCCTGTAGCAACTCGGCAACATTGTAAATGAGGGTCACCCTCAATGCTCTCTGAGGTTAAATAAAGGTTGATTGATTGATTGAATGAAGTGTTTTAAGGTATTGTATTGATATGGCATATAAAAAGCCTTGTCTGCCGTTTTACAGGTGTGAAAAGAGAAATGCATAAGGTCACAGAGATTTCTGCGCACAAGCTTTCACGGTTCTGTCATGCGCTGGGAAACGGACACAGCTACTCGAACAGAGCGTGGATAGTTCAGATTCAGATCTGCAACCATACTGCGCAGTACTGTACTGTACTGCACTGTGGAAAACCCTTATCATTTACACAGCAACACATTCTCTACAAGCTTTCCACAGTATACTTTTGCTATGTGAGGTAAAATCAACCTGGCATTTTCAGCCATATGTCCACACAGCGTTTGGCATCATTACTCTCCCCACTGCTGCAACGGCTGACTGCCAACTCCTGACGGCCGTGAGCTTGCAGCGAAATCATCTTCTCCTAAAGAGCAAATACAAGCTCAACACATGCACATCAAAACCAGGCGCAGAATCTCCTCAAAGATGGAGAGGGGAAAAAACAAACCTTAAAGGCTTTGCACTTTTCTGCCCGCTCTTGTTTCTCCGCAGCAACCTGACGAGCCAGTCTGTCCAAGGTGGACGCAGCATGGGCTTTCTGTTTGTCAACCTGATCCTCAATCTAGCTTTTCCATTTAATGTGTAAAAAGTAAAAAAGAATGATTAGCACATGTGCAGGGTATTCCAATATTATACAGGCTTCAAGAAATTAGACAGTGTCTGTGTTTACATGCAAAGATTTTTGCCAATCCAATTAAATACAATCCGATCATAGATTAAGACTGTTTATGCTCACTTTACTCAACAATCTGATGAAAATCTGTTTACATGTTCACTACAAGTAATCAGATCCAAAATGATGCGCATGTATAGAGAACCGCTTAGTGTAGATGTTACCATGACAACCAGCATCACGTGAGTCCAGTCAGAGTGAGACGAGCAGCGCTTATGTTTTTAATGACTTTAAAATGATGTCAGACTCAGGAAAACGTCCTTCACATGTCCTGATTAAAGAAGGCCGAGAGGAAGACGTCGTGTTCTGAGACACATAAGCTGGACGTCCGTCCCACCGCCGTCTTTTAAAGATCAGAGCATAAACTTCGTCTCCTCTGCAGACCAGTTTCTGCTCCGCCATGTTGAACGGTATAAACTTTCACTATGACGTGACGAACATGATCAGAACGGACTTAAACTTTCCGATAGGGAATGTAATCAGATACAGGCGTTTACAAGGATATTATTCTTCTATTTAACAGATTATTTACAGGATTGCTCACCTCAGTCAATCGTACAGAAATTGTATTCCAAGTGGCCTCAATCAGACTAGTCTATTCCGCCTGAGGTGTTTACACGGACGTATTCTATTCCGATTGAATTATTACTGCTGAACAGACTACTTGGAACAGCGACATCATCTTAGGTCAATCACAATCAGCATCCTCACCGTACAAACACCTGCATCGTCTTCTCCATCACTCAGGAGGTCTATGCACTCCAAGACTGGTCGGAGAGGCCCTTCCTGAAATGCATGGAAGACTTTTATGAGCCGCACAGTTCCCAAGACCTGCATGTTTGTCTGACTCAAGATGTTTGCAAGAGAATAAGACGCCACATCGATTTTCATCAAAAATCACTGATTAAATGGTTAAGATGTGAAGAAAGTCATTCAGAGTGGTTTGATGCTGCTTTCTGAGTCAGAACTGTTCACAGTGGTGGTGATAGGAACCAGACATCTATTGAATTTAATGCATCTAAAAGCTCCCTCACTGAAAGTTATCACAAGAAATTGTTTATCAGTACACCACGTGATGCCCGAGTCATAGTTTTATGATGACTTTGAGATAAGGTTCCCGCTCAAATCATATTTTATAATACACTCAGGGCGGAGACGTACCTGCAGGGCGTTGTGAGAAAATATAGTCCCAGAAGAAAACTTGTTTTCAGATTTGCCACTATTCGACCATTATTAACATTACAGAAGACTCGTGTAGGTTCACTGGTGGCTTTGGATAGTAAATAAAATGTCTATATTTGTGTTGTAGTCATGGCAACCCCTGGTTCCTATCACCACCACTGTAAAGACATTTGAGTCTCCACAATCAACCATTTCACACCAAACCACTCTGAATCACTCTGTTTACAGCTCAACCACAGAATTATGCAGAAATTTTGAAAAATCTGTGGAATTCCCCTTTAGTACTGGGTTCTACTTACTGATACAAACTCAACATCGTCCTCCTCATCTTCGATGTCTGCAGACGTAGACATTGCTAGTTAATCTGGCTTGGACCTGTGAACAAACCAAGAATAAGTCCAAGCAGCAAACTTCTGCGCTACATATAAAAAAAATACTATAATAATAGACATACAAGTACAGTAATCACTGAATAGAATTAAACAGGCCTGATTTTGCTCTCTGTAGGGAAACTTGTAGTTGGTCAGTGTTCTTTAAGTACTGGTACTTAAATGCACAGTCTGCTCAGAAAAGTGACATAATTTATCACGATAATGGTAAAATATTTACATATTTACCCCAGACCTGATGAAAATAATCCACAAAGTCAACGTTCTTACTTACTTGACAGTTTACAAATAGGTTTAAAGGTTGCTGCAACATGATTAATAGATAAACCTTGATTTAACCCAAGTTTAAACTTAATCTTTGTTGGTGCAACCCACCCAGTGAGAGAGAGAGACAGAGACAGAGAGAGAGAAAGAGAGACAGAGAGAGAGAGAAAGAGACACACAGAGAGAGAAAGAGAGAGAGACACACAGAGAGAGAAAGAGAGAGAGAGAGACACACAGAGAGAGAAAGAGAGAGAGAGAGAGAGAGACACACAGAGAGAGAAAGAGAAAGAGAGAGACACACAGAGAGAGAAAGAGAAAGAGAGAGACACACAGAGAGAGAAAGAGAGAGAGACACACAGAGAGAGAAAGAGAGAGAGAGAGAGAGAGAGAGAGAGAGAGAGAGAGAGACAGAGAGAGAGAGGGAAAGCAAGAGAGACAGAGAGAGAGACAGAGAGAGAGAAATTTTGTGAGAACATTCATTTATTTTTTTTAAACTGGAAGTTTAAATCTGAGTTTAAAGTAATGGTGCAACAGGATTAAATTTCATCTAGATTTACTGTAAAAGTAATCCAGGGTTAATATGATACTTTAGACGTAACTCTTATACATTTTAAACTAGGTTTAAAGTTTGGTCCACATCATTAATAGATAAACCTTGATTTAATCCGAGTTTAAGCTCAGTCCTTGTTGGTGTAACCCACCCTCGATGTAACACAGACTGAAAAACACCTAAACATGTAAACGGAGCTGTTTTCTATAATATTTGCTCCTTTTTAGTAGCAGAAACCTGCTTTTATTGGACTAAACGCTGCTGGTTTAATCTCTCATTACATTCTGGTCGCCCAGTAACTTGGCTGGCTAATGTTAGCCTGCTAACTAGCTAACTTAGCCCTCCTCTATCCCCGCCTAACCGGCACAAACAACTGAATAAACCGTTTTCTCACCTCCAGCAGCGCCACTGAATAACAGAGAAAGCTCTGACACCGCGAAGGAAGCGGAATCTTCTTCAGCTGACAAAGAGAAATGTAAAAATAATGTAAATTAAACTACTGCAACTAGAAAAACATACCTGTCCTGCCTGCAGCTGGCCGAGCGAAACAAGCGCCAGTTATAACGGCTTTCAAAATAAAAGCCCCGTTCCGCTGTTCATGCAGAATTATATTCATTTCATTAGTTAAAACTGGCTAAATCAATCATTTTAATAAACGACAGATGAAGATAGATTTATGTCAAATCCTGTTAGATTTTGAACCGTGTTTGATTTTTGTAAGCGAGGCTTATATTATACAATTTCCTGTAGTCTGGGGAGGTGATCCAGTTTTAGACTCACTCTTGAAAAAGATGGTTCTTTAACCTCTGGTGCTCCAGGGTATATTTTGGTTTGTCCATCCGAATTTACATGACCAAATCCTAAGGCAAATTATTCAGAAACTGCACAAAATAAATGTTTTAGTAAACGTTCCCCTTCAGATTAACAGAACATGTGTTTTATGATCACACATATTGCTATATGCTTACAATTTACTGCTGAAAGCCAACAGTCTTAGACGCTGTTTGTATTATTTTATAAAAATAATTTTTACAGAGCAGATCACTGAAGAGACGCCATCTGTTTATAGTTTATAGCCCAGATTTGTGGAAAAATGGGTCGACTTTCAGTAGAAAAAAATTGTGAGATCAGCTTCTTTTATTATAAGGGTTTAAAACTACATCACACATCTATTTGACTGGAAAGAAGACAGTTATAGCTCTCATATGACCCCCACCTTTTGAATGTAGCTTATGAAATATGAAAGTTATTAAGAATATGACGAAGTGCGTTTTGGAACCACCTGTGGTTCCAAGGAGCTTAAGAGGCTACGGGTTCTTTAGTAAAGATAATGATTTTATATAGAACCATGAACACTCAGGGAACCGTTTGCATGCTTAAATGATCCTCTGCATGGTGGAATGGTTCTTCAGATGGATGGAGAATGTGCTGCATGTTGCGTTTACTCAGTGACATACAGAGAACACTGGAAAATATGCAAAAAATACACAGAGGTTTTTCAGAAGAAAGGTACCAACACAACATTTTTCATTATTTTGGTTTCCAACCAAACAAACGTGCAGAGAATCACTGGATGCTAAACCACCCATCTCATGGAAAACCCAACGTTCCTCAATTTTGGGATGATTTAGTACGTAAACGCTGTTTTCAAAAAGCACCATTGACTCATTGTTCTATTTGGTCCATATATGATAACTAAGCAATGAAAACAGCTCGTTCTGAATGTGTTGTTTTTGTGGTATTTGCATGCACCCTTCATTTTCTGACAATAGCAGGTTAGGCCACCCACTCATGCTCAAGTCTCAGCTCAGTTTAAGAAGAGCAGACTACTTTTCAAAAAAGGCACAATACAGGGCAGCCAATCAGAAGAAAGGATATTTACATATATCAGTCTTAAAGGCGCAATAACAAAAGAAGCCTCTTACAGGGAATAAAGCGAGGGACGAATATGGTTGCAGAAAAATTAATTAAACTGTTTTTTTTTCTAAAATGTATGCAAAAAATGTAGAACATGGACCCTTTAATGGTGTGATATGGTCTCTGTGCAGAATACAGTTATCATAATAAATCAGTAAGTAAAATTAGAAGCCAGCCCACTTGGTATTTATATAGCACAATTAAAATGATCATCAGAGAAAATGAAAGCGAAGCTCTGTAATGCTCACATGTAGTACTCTGTACCTGAATTTGAGTCCATCTTCCAAAGGAGGCCACGATGCAGCGCCGCCATGTTTTTACAGTAGCTCAGAATGCACTAACCAATAATAGATGGACCGCGGTCCGAGTCTGGACCCAGACGCTGTCCTATGCGGACCTGGATGTATAACCAATTAACTATGGAGAAATATTTAATTTTAACGGGGTGGTCCTATTTTAATCGGCGTAACTTTTCTAGCCTTTACGGTAGCTTTAGCGGACCGGGAAACCCCCCAGTTGCATACATTGTAAATATCACATGTGACACTACTCAGCCAATCAGATCTGTGCATTATGATGAGCTCTGAGACTCGAGTGAGTGACGCACACACAGGGGAGGGACAAGGCAAGAAACAGCAATCGGAGAAGAAACTGAGTCAGAGGGAAGTTATTTCACCTGGCGTGATCTAAAAAGAGAAAACTGACAATAAATATTGTTGAATTATTACTGAATTGTACTTTATTTGATTTGACATTCAGTTGTTGACGGTATAAGATGTTGATATACCTACTAGGCTACTTCAGTTTACAGTATATGGCACTGAGTCATGATGCAAGTTAGACATTACGATGATCTGGACCTTTGCTTGAGGATATTTTCTCTAACTGGACCTTATAGAATTTTAATTAAAGACCCCTGATCTAGAGGGTGGCTTTTGCTTTTTTATGTTGAAGCAGCAGCTTAAATTTGGTGGCGCTGTAGCACCGCTGGGCGGCACAGTGGCACAGTGGGTAGCGCTGTTGCCTCACAGCAAAAATGGCCTGGGTTCGATTCCCTGCCAGGTGACCAGGGTCATTTCTGTGTGGAGTTTGCATGTTCTCCCCGTGTCTGTGTGGGTTTCCTCCGGGTACTCCGGTTTCCTCCCACAGTCCAAAAACATGCAGTCAGGCTGATTGGATGTGCTAAATTGCCCCTAGGCATGTGAGTGTGTGAATGTGTATGGCTGTCAGTCTGACCTGTGATGGACTGGCAACCTGTCCAGGGTGTATCCTGCCTTCTGCCCAGCTGGGATAGGCTCCAGCACCGCGACCCAGAAGGATAAGCGTCTTAGATGATGGATGTATGTATGTATGTACGTAGCACCACTTTGAAGATGCAGAAGGAAGAAGAATCAGTGGTTGCTGCCGGTGCTGGCTGACATTTTGTGTTGGAACCCAAATTCTGACAAATGGAGGATCAGACTTATTACTTAGCACAAAAAAAGCAAAAGAGAGGGTGAATCCTCAATGTCAAAGAAGTAAAAACATGAAGAAGCTAAACGAATTTCGGACAGGCGACGGCAGAAAACCTGACCAACGTAGGGAGGGGTGAGGGAGGGGGATTCAGTTGGTTGCAATTCGCAACCTCACCACTAGATGCCACTAAATCTTACACACAGCACCTTTAAAAGGGAATTCCACAATTTTTTAAATTTATTTCTGCATAATTAAATCACTGAGACTACAACATAAATATTGCCATTTTATTCCTGTGAACCTACATGCACATTCTGACTATGTGATGTTGATCATTTTAGTAGAAAATCAAAAAAAAAAATATTTGGGGACTATTTTGGCTTATAAAGCATGTACCTCTCCACCATAAAGATATATTTTGGGCCAAAACCTTGCTATGATCATCACGTCTCCGGTGTCAGGCAATGTATTCATAACCATTTCATGTCATAACTCTCTGTGAGGGAGTATTTAGAGGTGGACGCCTGGTTCCTATCACCACCACTGTGAACAACTGAAATCGATGTTTCCCTAAAACGGATCATTTCACACCAAACCACTCTGAATGACTCTGTTTGCATCTTAATGATTTAATTATGCAAACGTTTTGATAAATTAGTGAACCACTTCACACAAAAGCAATTAAAATATCCTGAAATTTTGAAAAATGGGTGGAATCCCCCTTTAGGGTACCTAATATTGAATGGGCAGCCTATAAGGAAGGGACTAATAGCTGTTGTGTGTCCCTGTGACACATCCATGACTGCATGCCTCTGTGTGTGTGTGTGTGTGTGTGTGTGCTGTCCTAAGCTCAGGCTTGGAGACCGCAGTGTGTCTGTGCGGAGCTGATGCCTTTAAATATCCTCCTCTCTGCAGCTTTGCTGAGCTCAGATGCAGTCAGATGCTCGCTCGCCCTGCGCGAGCTGTAAAAACAGGGTCTGATGCTGCTGAGTCATGGGTTGTTGTCTCACATCATTGAAATCAATAGACCTCCAGATATAGTCTGTATATGATTCCCCCTTCCACGGGCTTCAGCATGGACTCTTAGCCCATAGATTAGGAGACCCGGCGCCTGTGTGCAGGTGGGGCTGCCCTACATCGCGATGATCGCTGCGGCGTTTCTGGTTCTGCTGAGACCCCTCAGCATCCAGTGCGTCCTCCTGCTCCTGCTGCTCCTGCTGGGGACCGTGGCCACCATCCTGTTCCTCTGCTGCTGGCATCGGAGGCTTCGCCATGAGAAAATTCCCATAAAATCAGTGCTGGCGAGGCGTTCGAGGAGCCGTGGTGAGTAGCCAAACGCATATGTGTAATTTTTCGACAGGCTCTCCTTGGAATTTTCCGTTCCACCTTAAATGCTGCAGCAGTTACATTCAGGCGCCCGAGGCGCCTGAATGTAACTGCTGCAGCATTTAAGGTGGAACGGAAAATTCGAAGAAGCTTGCTTATAAGGAACCGAGCTACTTTCATTCTGGGGCCCAAATTAAAGTCCCATCCACACTCTTTACTCCAGCATTTTACCATTTAGTCTATATTTCAGCATTTTAGGGTATTTTGGGGGCATTTTCTCCGACTCAAGATCCATTCACCCTAAGCAGCAGTACCACCTCATCGCCACGTACTCATATACATACGAACCTGCCATGAAATCTGCCTGAAAGTCATATTTGTCTCCATATTTCACCTGTTTGAGCACATTTACCCCTTTTTATTGACACTAAACTAACAGAAGGTCCACTTTTTTAACCTTTTCCCATTTTGTTCCAGAAGCTGGTCTTCGATCACACCACTTTCGATCTGAGGTAAATTTTTTCCTCTCTTCCTCGCTGTTTTAAACATCCTCTAACACTTTTTCTGAAGTGCGTTAGTGAATAGCGTTGAAATGCCTTGTAATGCGCATTGCGCATGCGCGGTGAATCAATACGCATTTGGTCACTGCTCTTACTACTGCTGACATGGCTAGAGGTGAACACGTCTGGCATATTTCTGAGGACATCAGTATGGAGATGGACACATAGATGTGATGGAGATGAGAATTTAAAGGGGAAGTCCACCGGTTTTTTCAAATTTGCTGTATAATTAAATGGTTAAAGTCATTCAGAGTGGTTTGAGAAACTTACAGTTTCAGAGCTGTTCACAGTGGTGGTGATAGGAACCAGACGTCCACCTCTAAAAGCTCCCTCACAGAGAGTTGTTGCTCAAAATGGTTATGAATATGCTGAGACGCTGATATATGATAGTATTGTTATGAAGTTTTGGCCTAAAATGTATTTGAAACATCTGTTCATGGTGGAGGGATACATGCAGGGCAAAATAGTCCCCAAAAAAAGCTTATTTTTTCAGGTTTACCACTGATTTACCTTTATCAAGGTTATATATAAAAGCTCAGAAAACATGTGTAGGTTCACTGGTGACTTTAGATAGTAAATAAAATGGCTATATGTGTGTTGTAGGCATGACGACCCCTGGTTCCTCTCACCACCACTGTAAACTCTTATTTGCATGTCAGCAATTGAATGGGACAGAAATTTGGAAAAATGGTGGAGTTCCCCTTCAAGTCAAAAACTGAATATTATTGATCTTTTATGTTGTGTCAGGGTTTTCGGCACAGCCCCCGCCATGTCAGGAGGAACGCCCGAGTCAAAGTTTCACAGGAGAGGCCTCTCATGGACATACCGGAGAGTGACCCCGACTCTAGTGCTACCCTGAGGAAGCGCAAGGTGAAGAAGAGAGTCCAGCCTGAGTTCTATCACTCAGTCCAAGTAACACCAACACGCAAACCAGTAGGTGTACTTTTCAAATTTTTGATCCAGGTCGCTCATTAATGCATCCCACATCCTGACAAAGACCCTGTTTACACCGGGTCCTGAGTATCACAATGATATAGAGGTAGAGCTGGGTCATTCTAAAGAAACGTCCATTTTTGTGTCCCTAGTGTTTACAGATATATTACACTTGAAAAACATGTTAGGGTTACAATTTATATTCTAAAATAAAACAATAAGGTATTTTAACCATTAAACCTTCTTGAGCCTCAATTTATCAGTATTGTTTTTAAATCAGTTACATAGAATTCCATCCACCACAGAAGAGCTCGTCCTCACAGTGATGTATAAAGGCTGAGTGACATATTTTGAGGTAAAAAAAAAACATGGAATATATGAATAAAATGACATGAAGAAAACAAATGCCAAATAAATATTATGAAATATATAATGAAAGTTGTTGTCCCCAGGAGTCGTGTCACTGGTGTTACTGCATATCAAAAATCTCTTATTTTGAAATAAAAGTCACACTGATGACATCACTTGACTTCCTTTTACCTGTTTTCTGAGGATCTATGAAGAAAAGCACATGGTGAGTCCACTGTGTCTTTCAGTTATCAGAGATTTTCTCATTTAGCTCATGATTTCATATGAAGCTTTTAGCTGAAGTCACTGGAGTGACCGACTTTATTCTGAGGTCACTGTGAAAAAATAGAATATAAATGGATTAAATTACATATTTTAGTGGATTTTCCATGATTGACAACATGTGGTTTGATGCTCTGTAGCAGCCATTTTATAAAATGCATGTTTCATTAAAATGTCTCTGGTGTTACCTTTCTTATGTGTAACACCAATGAGGATCAGTGACACCAGTGACTCCTATGGAGAGATAGAAAAGTGGACTTTTCTTTAGAATGACCCAGATCATAAAAATACAGGTGTAAAGGCATCCAAGATGCATTTTAAGCAGATTAAACCACTTCAGGCGGTCTTAGCCAGAAGTGTAAATGCATGCATCTCTTCAAGCCACGTAGACCTCTAAAACTGTGCCGTCATTATGTAGTTGGTGTCGTGCCCTTATTAGGAACTCCAGCTCTAAGCTGGTCTTCTCTGTGACAGAACCACTCAACAGAGAGGCCTCACTGCTCCTTCAGTTCAGTTCTTCATGATTTGTCCTGTCCTGCTTAGGTTGTCATGCACTACATGGCCAAAAGTATGTGGACACCCGAGCATCACATGCGTACATGCTTGTTGAACATCTCATTCCAAAACTATGGAGAGTTGGTTCCACTTGGCCATCATTCCACTATATCAGGCATGTCAAACTGGGGACCTTTCGGGTCAAAGTGCTGTGGATATTAGCGTTTATCCTCATCTGATGCTCTGAATTCAGTTCATGACGGCCTTGCTAATTAGTTAATGAGCTGAATCAGGTGTGTTTAATGAGGCAGTGTGCAGTGTTTTGGCACTAGATGTAGGCTTTGCTTCCATTCAGTCACAAGAGCATTATTGAGGGCAGACACATGATGTTGGATGTTTTGTTGGTGTTGAGGTCAGGGCTCTGTGCAGGCTAATTAAATTCTTTGAGACCAAATTCAGTCTTTATAAACGTCACTTTGTCCACAGAGGCACAGTCATACTGAAACAGGAAAGGACCTCATTCAAATTCTTCCACAAAGGTGGAGGCCAGCAGCTCTCTAAACTGTCTTTGGATGCTGTAGCATTAAGATTTCCTTTCCCTGGAATTAAGGGGCCCAAACCCTGAAGAACAGCCCCAGCCCATTATCCCTCCTCCACCAAACTTTACATTGGCACTATGCATTCTGGTAGGTAGTGTTCTCCTCTCAAACCGAGATCCGTCCGTCAGAGTGCCAGACAGTGAAGCATGATTCATCATTTCAGAGAACACGTTTCCACTGCTCTAGTGTCCAGCTTTACACCGCTCCAGATGGCGCTCGGCATTGCTGCACATTGTGATCTAGAGCTTGAGTGCAGCTGCTCGGCCATAGAAACCCAGTCCGTGCTCAGTTCCCATGTTGACGTTGCCTCCAGAGATACTTTGGAACTCCAGAGATACTTTGGAACTCAGTAGCGAGTGCTGCAACTCAGACTCTGGATGGTCTCATTCTGTGTGGCCTACATCCTTATAAAAATAGTCCTTAAAGGGTTCTTTAGTAAAATTAATGGTTCTATATAGAACCATGACCACTCAAAGAACCATTTGAATGCATAAATAGTTCTTTGCTTGGTTAAATACCTCTTTTCAATGATAACCTGCAGTATATGGTTATTTAAAGAATCTATTTATAAATGGTTCTATATAACACCAAAAAGGGTTCCTCTGTTGTTATAAGCTATAGAACCGTTTTTGCAGAGAGTGTGCTGTTTCACAACTGAGCTGCTGTTTACAGTTCACAACACTTACGGTTGACTACGGCAACTCTAGCAGGGTGAAAATTTGGCAAACTTACTTAAAAAAGGAGCATTCTATGACAGTATGGCAACAAAAGTCACTGAGTCATTCAGTGACACATTTTGCAGACTGTATTTTGTCTATGCCGATTGTCTGGCTATATGCTTCATTGAGCAAAAGGTGTAGCTGAAGTAGCTGAAGCCATTAGCTATTAATTAAGAGGGGTGTCCACATACATTTGGCCATGTAGTACATCTACATTTAAACATATCCTAAGCCAGCGTCTTCTTTTGCTATGTTTACATTATATATAACCTATTTATTGGAATCTGATAGCTGTGAATTATGTTAAGTAAGCAGTTTACTGTTCCTTCATGCTCTTTTGAAAGGTTACTTTGTTCTTTTTTTAACTCTTGTGTGGTGTTGATGTGTTTGTTACTCAGTGGTCTGCTGGACCCACCGCATTATTGTTTCTTTAAATCAATACAGCCATAACAGTTTATGTAAAAATACCAGATGTTTAAAATATCACAAGTGTCCAGTGTAGGGTTCCCCTTTAGCAGCTGTAGCCAGTCAGCAGCCTGTCCATGTTGTCCACCCTCACACACACACACACACACACACACACACACACACACACACACACACACTAACAGCAGGCCATGTAGGAGGAGAACAGAGTGAAGGACACAGCACCCCCACACTTTTATTCCCCGCGGGTTCACCCAACACCACATGTGTAATATAAATGTGTGGGGGGTGAACAGAGTGAAGACACTGAAAATGGGTTATTTTATATGTTCTTCACAGAAAATGAGTCAAAGGCCAAGAATCTGAGGCTGAAATAATAATAAATCACATCATTTTTTCTTGTGGTAAACACTGAAAATGGGTCCCACAGACTGAACACCACACAAGGGTTAAATGCTATAGAATAATTACCCTGGTATATCATTGAGTAATATGCAGTGTGCTATATCTATGAATTATGGGGTGCTTTCAGACATTTGGGTCAAACAGCTTTACCTGAGCATTGTGCAAACCACCTTTATTTATTTGACCTTGACAATAAACTTACCCTCTAATAAATAGCACAGTGAGTTATGCAGTTAAAACTGTCCATACAAGAAAGTGTGTCATTTGTATTCTCTTATTTAACACAAGTAGTAGATTTGCACTGGAGCTGTGCAGCTAATGTAGCTAACAAGTAATAAACAAAGCTTATCATCGCTGTCAGAACAAAACCTCTTATCTCTAAAATGGGAACTTTACAGGAGATGGAAAAACACCCTTAACTTGTGATGGAAGTTAAAGTAACAGCATTTTCTTTCAAGTAATTTTGGGCTTTTTTTGTTGGTCTGTTCATCATGAAGTTTTAACATAATGCAAAGGGGACTGGTGTTTTTGAAAGATGCGAAAAAAATGAAAAATGTGTGACAGCGACATTAAACTCCACTAAAAAGCGCAGTGCAAACTGCGTTCCTCAGTAATCAGTCGCTCAGGAGCTCTAAAGAAGCAAACTTTGGACACTAAGCATCTCTTGGCTGATCAACTACAGTAAAGGTAACGGAAAAATCGTGTAAATTGTGTAACTATCTACATTCTTTATGTGTTAATTCATTCCTTCTGTTCACATAATCTAAAGCAACTCCAACAGATTTACTCCATGTTGCACCAACACCTGGACAAGATCCACCATCAGTGAGCAGCATTAATTAATCTGGTCAGATTGAATTGGTTAACATGAGCTCTGTCGTGAATTGAGCCCCTCCTATGAAAAAACATATATTAACCATTCCACCTCTTTTGGATTATCAGTTATTTTGTTTTCTGTTTTATTTTGTACAACCTTTCACATTAAAAAGCTAAATTGTGCTTTATTTGCATTTTAGTGACCCCTTTATTTTAAATACAGGGCGTCAAACAGTGCCGTACCATGCCCAAATGATTTTTACAAAAAATGTCACGTATACTGGCTCAAATGATGTCATGTTAATTAGCTGGCCTTGTAGAAACCATACAAGGTCGTGGAGGTTAGTGAAGCTATTTTACTGACGATGACTCTGATTTCAGTTTCTCTACAGCCAAACTGGCTGATGAAGGATTTTTTATTTGCCTATTTTTAAACCCGATGCTCACTCTGTCTGACCTAAATGAACACATGGAACACACTGGCACATTTCCAGAACTTTCCATTAGCCGAAGTCTCAATATAAATAACAATGGGCCTCATTCACCAATGAAATTTGTTCTTTGGTCCTAAGAAACACAGAACTCACAGAAATGTAATATTGGATCGTTTACCTCAATAAATAAATGACCAAGTCTAATATTTTTGTTTCACTTGTTTAATTTAGTTCTCTTTATCTTTATTTAGGACTTGTGTGAAAATCGGATGAAGGTTTAGGTCAAATTTATGCAGAAGAATCAGAAAATTCTAACTTTCAAGCACCGCTGTATGTCAGATTCATGTTGTGTTCTTAAACTGCAGAACTGTTCGCACCTTTGTGCTCTTGAGTTTGTGTAGATTCTGTTCTTTATTTAGAACAAATCTCAAATAAGAGAACCTTAGTAAATGTCAGAATCTTCATTAAAACTGCAT